TCGCTGATCCGGCGTGCCTACTAATCTGTTGGAAGAGCCTTACGCCGGAAAGGGCCCTATTTCGAGGCTGATCACGATCAAGCTATCGTCGAACCTGAGTCTATGAGGCGGACTGGCCAACAGCGCTACTTCCGTCGCAATACCGCGGAGTATACGGCTCTCTCATCGTGACACGATCGCACGACGACGACCCGCAAATCATGAAGAATCCCTGGCGGACATTCAATCGTAAAATTGCCGACGAGTGGATGAACGAGCACCGCAGGGATCGCCGCATTTCACGAGCTTCGCACAGAAGCAACCTCCGAATAGCCCCTCCAGACCCCCCTTCCCCCGGATCCATCCCATTCGAGAAGGTGGCCACGCAACTCAGGTCGATGATGCCGTGGCTGGCGAAAACGGCTGTGGACAGAGCAAGAACTAGTAGGGCGGGTTCAACTCCCCGTGCCGCGGAGTTTTAACCCTCCCCCCGCGGGGTCGTTAAAACCCCCGGCCGGCGGCCCGGGCTGAACGACCCCCACTCGCTTTGGGGACATTCCAGCACGGACGCTAAGGAGGTTTCGTTTCGTTTCACGCCACACGTGGCTTGGGCTGGCAGCCGCTGCCCTGTCGTGGCTTTTCGTGGTCGGCGTGGTACGCTGCGTTGGCGTGGGCGGTGGCAGGTTCTTATCGCGATCGGAGCGCGTTTCGCGCCGGACGGGGGAAGGCATCGTCGTGTCTCCGTCCGGCGGACGCAAGGTGGTGAGCGTCTACGATGTCTCATTCCGATGCCGCAGGGTCCTCATCTTTCTTTTCGCCCCTGGACGTGCACATCCAACCTGGGTCCCCTGAACGGCCGATGGGTGGATGTCCTCTATCATACGGGCCACTTCCTTCCGCCTACAAAGGGCAAGGCGTCCGACGAGAATGAACGCATGCCATCGAGCTCGTGGACGATGCGGGAAACGAACGCTCCGCATCGGGCGATCGCGGCTTCCTCGCCCGCCGGATCGTTTGCGACGTTGACGCGGCGATTCGTTGAAGCGGGGCGAGGCGTTTGGTCTGATCTGTCCGGATCCCCCGTAGACCTCTTACCTGCCGCGGACGCCCATAAAAACCGTCGAAGTACACCCCGGCCACGGTTTCCTTGCTGGGCCACCACGTCGCCAGGCGCACGTGTTGAGCTTTAGTAGTTAAACCTGTTTTGAGATCAAACGAGTGCACTTGGTAAACCGTATGGGTGGGGGGGTGAGACAGCACCTATCCACGGACCAGTGTGATGGACAGTACCGAAAAGTCGTTCTCGGCCGTTTAGAAGGTCGGCTCATCCCGCGGGTAAGTCCAACCGGGCCGCTTAAGCGGCGGGGTCCTCCAACCCCCCGCGCCGTGCCATCTATCTTCTTCCCATTCCTTTCAACCTCTGTGCAACTCTCTTCGCGGCATTTTCGCCATGATCTGTCGCGTAAATGTCGGCGTACCATCAGGCGGCCCTGTTCAATCGGGGGGTCTCGCACCTGCTTGGACGGCTTCGACGGCGCGGTGCGCGGCTAACCCACACCACCATCCAGTTCGGTCGGAGTCGATTCGATTCCTGGCCGACCAATCGTCCTCGTTCTTCGTTGCGCGGCTATCCTGCCTACGTATTCGCTTTGTTGGCTAAAAACGGGAAAGCCGTTGGCCACGCTTGTCGGCTTCCGGTGCGCCTCTGTGCGCGCGTTCATGCGGGGCGGCATAGACGCCTGATGGAGGGGCAAGCGGCAGTAAGTCACACAGCACTTGCGCACAGAGGTCAGCGTTGAGTCATACGGACAATAGAAATTACTGACAGATGGGTAAGCCGTCAGACCTATACCACCGGCAGAAGCCTTAGCGAGCCCGGCCGGCCGCGGCCCCAATTCGCGGCTACCACTTCATGTATTTTCAGCTGGACTCGAAACACGGACAGCAAGCCTCGTGTCTTTATGGTCCTGGCATGTACGCTGCGGGCCTCATGGTGACATTTCCGCTATCTCTCCTGAACAGCACCACTTCAAGAAGCGCAGCACCATTGGGGTTGTTGCTTTCCGCCTGTAATCATATCTACCATCTCTATGTTTCAGAATCGTGTGGTCCGTCGCTATTACTGTACACCCTATCGGGCCCCTATTATGGCTGCTCGCCTGTGCGAAAGAGACGAGCGGAAGGAAGAGCAGCACTCGTACAAGCAGGACCAGAAAGCGAGAAACCTCAGCTTGCATGATCCATAACTCCCGCCGGACCCCGGCGGGAGTTTTTTTTGAGAAGACCATGAGTCGTGGGGCCAGAAGACGTGTGTCTAACATTTGATACGACCCTCAGTTGTGCGGTGGTGTGGGAAAGTTTTGGACGGCGAGCAGTCGCCGCAAGCACATGAACATCGACGAGACGGTCCTGCATTGCCCTCCACTGGAAACAAAGCTGACGTCATCGAGGCGGCTCGCCGCGTCGTCGTCGCCAGAGCTCGCGTCCGTGGTGCAGGTATGCAAGGCCGTCAGCGCCCCATCGTGCTGAGTCTGGGCGTATGCCGGGCGCAGCAGTGTCGATAGTCCGAAGGCGCCAAGTGCGGTGAGGGCGCGGAGAGCCGGGCTCGCTATACCCTCATCTGCCACCTCGAGATATCCACATGAAGCACAGCTGCCGGATGTCCGGAGGAGGAGTGCTGGAGTCCGTACGGCCCGTGTGCTGCGAGAGATATCTGGACTGTGTCGAGTTTCACACGGCGGGCGTAGCGACGTTGCGCGCGAGCGACCGAGTTCTGGTGGCATGTCTTCTCGGAGGCGGAGCCATGCCGGGCCGGGCGAAACCCGTCAACCATCCGGACCCACGGGCTACGTCCATCCGTCGGAGTTCGGCGCGCTGGTGCGACCTGGATCTGAGAATACCGAGGACTCGGACAAGGTCACCATGGAGCGCCCACTGCCACAACGATCTAGGTCTGGCCGTGGCCACTCCCTGGCGCGGGGCCACCGGTGTGCGGCAGGTGGAGTGCACGGTGAGACGGCCATCGGCGAAGCGGGCCGCGAACGACCTGCGCTGTGGAGAGAGAAGGGGTGTGATGGCCTCAAGACCGCGCGGTCGTGGTCAATCTCGACACGCGCATCCACACGCGAGCAGGATCTAGACCCACCTCGCGTCTGCGGTGCCAGTCCCGGCATCTCGGTCCGCTCAACAAGCCATCGTGGAGACAATGCGCCTGTTGCCACGAGGCCGGGATCCATCAGGACGGCGTGCTGACGCAGAAAGCTCCCTACGAGATCATGAAGCCGAAAGCCATCGGTATAGCCGGCAACCGGCTGGTGATGGGCAAGCACTCCGGCCGCATGCCTTCAGCGAAAGAGATTTGCGCATCTCGGCTTCACGCTCAACAAGGACGAGATCAACCGGGCCTTCGATCGGTTCAAGGAAGCTCGCGGACAAGAAGAAGGAAGTGTCTGACGAGGACATCGAGTGCCCTGGTGGCGGACGAGGTGCTGAGGATACCGAGCCAGCGGACCGTACGAGCTGGTGTACATGAACATCGCCTCGAGCTCATCCGCGTGCCGTCGGCCACTATACGGATGCGGGTGGACGGCGAGAGAAGATGGCCCACGACACGGGTGACGGGGGGTGGTGCGTGTATAAGCGCATCGCCAGATCTCCGGTAGCCGCGCGAGACTTGCAACGGTATTCGGTTTCGAGCGTCACCGGCGGCACCGACGCCAGGGCGAGGTGTCGTGCATGCTTCAGGAAAAGGACATCAACATCTCCGGAAAGGTTCCCACGGACATCATCATGGCGAGTGCGCTTGGCGTATGTGAACGCCTTGAACCGTCTCGAATATCGCAAGCGGCACCGTAAGTTCAGTAGAGGGGGGTCCATGAGTCATAGGTAACGGTGCTTCCGGGCGACGGCATCGGCCCGGAAGTGGTGGCCGAGGCCATGGCGGTGCTGCTGCAGGCGGGCGCGACATCTTCGATTTCACCATCGATGTCGAGGAGGGGGTGGTGGGCGGAGCGTCCATCGACGCCCACGGAAACGCCCCTGACCGACGAGGTCCTGGCCTTGGCCAAGTCCAGCGACGCGGTGGTGCTGGGAGCCATGGGCGGACCCAAGTGGGATGGACTGGACTATTCCATCCGCCCCGAGCGAGCGTTGCTGGCGTTGCGCCAGGAGCTGGGGCTGTTCGCCAACCTGCGTCCGGTGAAGCTGTTCGCCCCTTTGGCGCAGGCTTCGACCCTCAAGCCCGAGGTGGTGGCGGGAACCGACCTGCTCGTCGTGCGCGAGCTGACCGGCGGCATCTACTTCGGACAGCCCAAGGGCGTCACCACCGAGCCCGACTGGTACCGAGCGGGGCTTCAACCCTGGTCTACACCACGCCCCGAGATCGAACGGATCGCCAGGGTGGCCTTCGACGCCGCCGCAGGCGCCGCGGCCGGGTGACCTCGGTGGACAAGGCCAACGTGCTGGAGTCCACCGAGCTGTGGCGCAGGGTGGTGACCCGGGTCCGCGACGAGGAAGGCTATGGCGACGTCGAGCTCGACCATGTGCTGGTGGACAACTGCGCCATGCAGCTCATTCGGGATCCCAGGCAGTTCGACGTCATCGTCACCACCAACATGTTCGGAGACATCCTGAGCGACGAGGCGGCCATGCTCACGGGTTCCATCGGCATGCTGCCGTCCGCCAGCCTCGGCGGCAAGGTGGGCATGTACGAGCCCGTGCACGGCAGCGCTCCGGACATCACCGGGCAGGACAAGGCCAACCCGCTGGCCACCATCCTGACGGTGGCGCTCATGCTGCGCCACTCCTTGACCAGGGCGCCGCCGCCGACTGCATCGAACAGGCGGTGGAGCGGGTGCTCGAGGCCGGCCACCGCACCCTGGACATCTCCGAGGGGAAGGCCAACGTGGTGGGGTGCAAGGAGATGGGTTCCCTGGTGCGGCAGGAGATTGCGGCCGGCCGCGGAGCTTAGCGTGACATGAATAAAGACAAGTACAATGTTGCCGTAGTGGGAGCGACCGGAGCGGTGGGCGAGGAGATGCGGAAGATTCTCGCGGAGCGGCTGTTCCCCGTGGACACCCTTCGGTTGCTGGCTTCCGAGCGGTCCGCCGGCCAGCGGCTCGCTTTCGGTGGCCGGCAGATTCCGGTGGAGGTGCTGGACGACGATTCTTTCGAAGACATCGACATCGCGCTGTTCTCGGCGGGTTCGTCGGTCAGTGCCCGGTATGCCCAGGCGGCGGTGGACGCCGGCGCCGTGGTCATCGACAACACCAGCCATTTCCGGATGGACGACGAGATCCCGTTGGTGGTTCCGGAAGTCAACGCTTACAAGATCGCCGACCACGCCCACCGGGGCATCATCGCCAACCCCAACTGCTCCACCATCCAGATGGTGGTGGCGCTGAAGCCCTTGTACGACGCCGCGGGCATCACCCGCATCGTGGTGTCCACCTATCAGTCGGTGTCCGGAGCCGGACGCCGGGCCATGGAGGAACTCGGCAAGCAGACCGCGGCGCTGTTCAACAGCCAGGAGGTGGAGTGCGAGCAGTTCCCGCATCAGATCGCGTTCAACTGCATCCCGCACATCGATTCGTTTCTGCCCGACGGTTACACCAAGGAAGAGGTGAAGATGGTCCAGGAGACCCGCAAGATTCTGGACGACCCGGAAATTCGCATCACCGCCACCGCCGTGCGCGTGCCCGTCTTCTGCAGCCACTCCGAATCCATCAACGTCGAGACCCGCACCAAGCTGTCGGCGGGCGATGTCCGCGCCATCCTCAGGGAGGCTCCCGGGGTGTTGCTCCAGGACGACCCCCAAGGCAACGACTACCCCCTCGCCACCCAGGCTACGGGCAAGGACGCCACATACGTCGGGCGCATCCGCGAGGACGATTCCGTCGAGAACGGGATCAATCTATGGGTTGTCGCCGACAACCTGCGCAAAGGCGCGGCCTTGAACGCGGTGCAGATCGCCGAGATCCTGATCCGGGACTACCACTGACGGGCGGGTGTCCCGGGTCACTAGTGTGGTGTCTCACAAATACGGTTATGAAGATGCGAGGGCATTTTGGTTGTCGGCAAGGCGCGATGACTTGTAGGGGCGGGTTTCAAACCCGCCCGTGTGGCGTGCACCACGCGAGGAAGAGCAACGCAGCCGACGGCCAAAAGGACCCGCAGATTCATAAGCGTATTTGTGGAACGCAACACTGGGCGTGCGATTCCTCGGGACACCGGCATGAACGTCCGACTGACCCTCGAGTACGACGGCACCGACTACCGCGGCTGGCAGATCCAGCCCGGTGGACCGACGATCCAGGGCATTCTGGAAGAGGCACTGGCCGTCCTGCTGAAGCAGCCGGCGCGAATCCTGGGGTCTGGGCGAACGGACGCCGGCGTTCATGCGCGGGGCCAGGTGGCGAATTTCGCGTGCCCCGACGGCCGGGACCTGACCCGAATTCAGCGGGGCCTCAACGCCCTCACCCCGGACGACATGACGATAAGGGCGGTAGAGGCGGCGTCCCCCTCGTTCGATGCCCGGAGAGATGCGAGGAGGCGCGTCTACGAATACCGCCTGTGGAACCACCCTTGGCGGTCGGTGTTCAACGACCGGTATTCGTGGCACGTACGCAGGCCGTTGCGCGTCGACGCCATGCGCGAGGCGTTGGCCGCGTTGGAAGGGGAGCATGACTTCTCGTGTTTCCGGGCCGCCGGGTGCGGCGCCGCTACCGCGGTCCGGCGGATCTACCATAACGAGCTGTTCCTGTGGGAGGATCACTGGGTCTATCGCGTTGAAGCCACCGGCTACCTCCGGCATATGGTACGCAACATCGTCGGCACGCTGGTGCAGATAGGGCTCGGTGAGCGGGATGCCGGCGGTCTCCCGGCATTGATCGACAGCCGCGACCGTACGCAGGCCGGCCCCACCGCGCCCGCACGGGGCCTGTTTCTGGTGGAGGTGTGCTACGAATAGGCATCCGCGGTGAGTCAGTCCGCCGGATGGCGTCCTTCGACTCCGCTTCGCGAAGCCTGTCCTGAGCTCGTCGAAGGGCTCAGGACGAACGGAATCGTGGTTTTCCACCAACCGCTCGTCCTGAGCGTAGCGAAGCGGAGTCGAAGGACGCTTGAATTAGCGCAGGCCGCTGGCTATGATTTCCCGCAAGGAGAACCTGATCCATGTCCGAACGTACACTTTATGACAAGGTCTGGGACGCCCATACGGTGACCACGCTCCCCACCGGGCAAACCCAGCTTTTTATCGGATTACATCTGGTCCACGAAGTGACCACCCCGCAGGCGTTCGACATGATGCGGGAACGGGGGCTGTCCATCGCCTATCCCCAGCGGACCTTCGCCACCGCCGATCACATTGTCCCCACGGACACCCATGCCCGGCCCTTTGCCGACGATCAGGCCGAGGCGATGATGGCGGCGCTGGAGAAGAACGTCAGCGACTTTGGCATCGAGTTCTACGGTTTGGGCAGTGACCGGCAGGGCATCGTTCATGTCATCGGTCCGCAGCTCGGTCTGACGCAGCCGGGAATGACGCTGGCCTGCGGCGACAGCCACACGAGCACCCACGGGGCCTTCGGGACCCTGGCCTTCGGCATCGGTACCACCCAGGTCCGGGACGTGCTGTCGACCCAGACCCTGTCCATGGACCGGCTCAACGTCCGGCGCATCAACGTCAACGGCAGCCTCCCCCTGGGGGTGCACGCCAAGGACGTGATCCTCACCATCATCCGGACCCTCGGAGTCGGCGGCGGCAAGGGGTACGCGTACGAGTACGGCGGCGCGGTGCTGGACCGGATGAACATGGAAGAACGCATGACCGTCTGCAACATGAGCATCGAGGGCGGTGCGCTGGTGGGTTACGTCAACCCCGATCAGACCACCTTCGACTACCTGATGGGACGGCAGTTCGCGCCCAAGGGGGAAGCCTTTGACCGCGGGGTGGCGTACTGGCGCGCCATGGCGTCGGATCCGGACGCGGCCTATGACGACGTGGTGGACCTCGACGGCTCGGCCATCGAGCCGACGGTCACCTGGGGCATCAATCCCGGACAGGCAGTGGGCGTGCTGGAGAACCTGCCGCGCCCCGAAGAGCTGCAAGACCCCAAGATCGTCGAGAGGGCCTACGAGCACATGGGCTGGACGCCGGGCGCGCCGATTCTCGGGACTTCCATTGACGTGGCATTCATCGGCTCCTGCACCAACTCGCGGTTCTCGGATCTCGTGGCCGCGGCGCGCGTTGCCAAGGGTAGACAGGTTTCCGCGGGCGTGAGAGCGCTGGTGGTGCCCGGCTCCGTCGAGGTCAAGAAACAGGCGGAGGCGGCGGGGCTCGACCGGGTCTTCACCGAAGCGGGCTTCCAATGGAGAGAGGCCGGTTGCTCCATGTGCCTGGCCATGAACCCCGACAAGCTCAACGGCCGCGAGGTGTGCGCGTCCTCATCGAACCGAAACTTCATCGGCCGTCAGGGGAGCCCCGGCGGGCGGACGCTGTTGATGAGTCCCGCCATGGTGGCCGCGGCCGCCCTGAACGGCAAGGTCGTGGACGTGCGCGAATACAACTAATTGATCGAGGTCGGCATGAATGAGATCAAGCAGGTAGGCGGCAGGGCGGTGGTGGTGCGGGGGCACGATATCGATACCGATCGAATCGTTCCGGCCCGCTACCTCAAGGAAATCACCTTCAATCGCATGGGTGAATACCCGTTCTTCGACGAGCGGCACGACACCGAGGGCAACACGGTGGACCATCCGTTCAACGAGGCCCGCTTCCAGGGCGCCGAGGTCCTGCTGGTGAACCGCAACTTCGGTTGCGGGTCGTCGCGGGAGCACGCGCCGCAGGCCCTGTACCGCTGGGGCATCAAGGTCGTCGTCGGGGAATCCTTCGGTCCGATCTTCGCCGGCAGCAGCCTGCTGATGGGCATGCCCACGGTGATGGTCTCGCCGGAGGACATCGGAAAGCTCATGGCAATGGTGGAGGCCGACCCCGAAGTCGAGCTCACCGTGGACCTCGACGCCCGGAAGATCCACCTGCCCGATGGCACGGACATGGACATCGACATCAGTGAGGGCCACCGCAACGCCCTGACCACGGGCTCGTGGGACTCCACCACGCTGCTGCTCAACAACATGGACGAAGTGGCCGAGACCGCCGAGAGACTGCCCTACACCAAGAACTTCGAGGGGCCGGCGCCGCTGTAGCGTCCCGCGCTCAATCCCCAGCGCATTCGCAGGGGCGACCGGCCGGTCGCCCCTACCCTGGGTCCACTGTCGCGTAGGCTCCCGAGCCTGCGCCGCAGGAACCGTACATCCGATGTAGGGGCGGGTTTCAAACCCGCCCGTGTGCGGATCGCGCTGTCGGCTGACACGGCTCCTACCCCTGCACTTGCGGCAGCACCTTTTCCACGAACGTATCCAGTTGTGCGAGGTCGGCGATGGCCAGGCCGATGATCAGGGTCTGGAGTCCGCCGGCGAAGATCCGGTTGATGCCGTCGGCGCACGCATTCGCGCTCCCCACCAGCATGTACTTCTCCACGTCCATCCGCACCTTGCCGTAGTAGCGGATGAGGTAGTTGCTGCACGCCTCCACCGCCTTGCTCTTGTCGTCGTTGATGGCGATGAAGGTAAGCCCGGCCTTCTCGATGCTGTCGGGGTCCCGTCCCGCGGCCCGGGCGTGGCCGCTGATCTTTTCCCACACCGCGCTGAAGTCGTGCACGGCGTTGCTGCCGCAAATGTAGCCGTCAGCCAGCCGCCCGACCCGCTTGAGAACGGTTTCGGCGGTCCCGCCCATCCAGATGGGGGGATGGGGCGACTGGATGGTCTGGGGGCCGAAGCGGGTGCTGTGGAGGTCGAAGAACCGGCCGTGGTGCTCCACCTCGTCTTCGGTCCAGAGCCGCTTCATGAGGCCGAGAGACTCCTCGGCCCGGGTTCCCCGGTGCTCCCAGGGAACCTCCACGGAGCTGAAATCGTTCTCCCGGCTGCCGAACCCGATGCCGAGGGTCACTCTGCCATTGGACAGGAAGTCGAGGGTGGCCACGGTCTTGGCCAGCAGCGCCGGATGCCGCAGCGCCGACAGCAGCACCGACGTTCCCAGCCGGATGTTCTCGGTGGCGCCCGCCACGGCCGCCAGCACGGTCAGGGCCTCGAGATTGTCATAGGCAATGCGATCGATGGTCCAGAACGAATGCAGGCCCGCCTGGTCGCATTTCCGCGCCATGGCGGTGACGTAGCCCGGTTCGATTTCCGGCGCCGGGTTGACGAAACAAATGCCTAGATTTCCCATGGTGACGATCCTTTCCTGGTGCTCAGCGGTCCGCCGCAGACCCCTCAATGCCTCGAATATTAGTCGGTTTTCTCCAATCCCGCAACGAGAGCCCGTCGTCCGCAGGTCGGATTGGCAAAGCGTAATCCGACAAGGGGCGAGGCTGCGCGGTGCCGGGTTACGCCGTTGGCTAACCCGACCTACGGGGGAAGGGGCCGTTCCAGTGGACGCCGTGCCACCCGGTCGAGCTTGACAGTCTCTCCAGACCTCGATATATCCCGTGTGGATTTCTTTAGGGGCAGAAGGGAGTTTCTATGTTGGAAGCCGCCACCGTAGCATTTGAGAACCTCCTGGTTCCAAGCCGGCTGGGGTATCTGTTCATCGGCGTGCTGATGGGCTTGGCGTTGGGTGCGATTCCCGGCTTGGGAGGCCTCGTCGGCCTCGCCATCCTCCTGCCCTTCACCTTCGACATGGACTCCTTCGAGGCGTTCGCCATCATGATCGGCTTGATCTCGGTGACGAGCACCTCCGACACCATCCCCTCGGTGCTCTTCGGCGTACCCGGCACCTCGGCGTCCCAGGCCACCATTCTGGACGGGCACCCAATGGCCAAGAAAGGGGAGGCCGGCAGAGCCTTCGGCGCCGCCTATATGGCATCGCTCCTGGGCGGCGTGTTCGGGTCGCTGGTGCTGGCGCTTTCCATCCCGGTGCTCCGCCCCATCGTCCTCGCGTTCGGCTCTCCCGAGTTCTTCATGCTGGGCCTCTTGGGCATCTCCATGGTGGCCGTGCTGAGCGGCAACGCCCCGGTGAAGGGGCTCATCGTCGGCGCCCTCGGCCTGTGCGTGGGCATGGTGGGCATGGACCCCCAGACGGGTGTGCTCCGTTGGGTGTTCGGGGAACTATACCTCTGGGACGGCGTGCCCCTGGTCCCGGTGGCGCTGGGAGTCTTCGCCATCCCCGAGATCGTCGACCTGACCATCAGGGGCACGCGCATCGCGGATGTGCCCAAGGAGCGGTTGAAGGGGGTCACGGCAGGGATCCGGGATACCTTCCGCAACTGGTTCCTGGTCCTGCGTTGCGGCGTGGTGGGGGTTTTCGTAGGGGCCATCCCGGGGTTGGGCGCGTCGGTGGTGGACTGGTTCGCCTATGGGCACGCAATACAGACGGAGAAGGGCGCCAACGAGACCTTTGGCACGGGCGACGTGCGCGGAGTGCTTGCGCCGGAAGCCGCCAACAACGCCAAGGAGGGCGGGGCCCTGATCCCCACCATCGCCTTCGGCGTTCCCGGCAGCGCGTCCATGGCGCTGTTGCTGGGGGCCATGACCATCCAGGGCCTGACCCCGGGCTCGGCCATGCTCACCAAGGACCTTGCGGTTACCTACACGATGATCTGGAGCCTGGCCATCGCCAACGTCTTCGGCACCATCCTGTGCCTGTTGCTGACCAATACGCTGGCGAAGCTCGCCATGGTCCGGATCAATCTGCTGACCCCGATGGTGGTGGTGATCGTGTTCCTGGCGTCCTTTCAAGCCACCCGGCACTAGTGCCACTGATGGGATCTGGTCACCTGCTGGCATTCTCGCTGCTGGGTGGTTGATGAAGCGGTTCAGTTGGCCGCGGCGCCGCTGATCCTGGGGCTGGTGCCAGCGGCATCATCGAGAACTATCTTCATCTCCATCAGCGTTACGGCGCCACGTGGATGATGCGTCCCATCGTGATGATCGTGATGGTGCTCATCGCCGCAAGCCTGTACTACGGCGTTCGCAAACTCGCGCAAGCAACTGGAGCTGGCAACGGATGCGGGAAGCGCAATCGAGCGTGAAACGAAGCGAGGAAGCCGATGAAGATTAGGGCCAATCCGGGAGCGTTGTTCACCCTCATACTCCTGTTGTTGATGGTAGGCTTGGTGGTACCGCCAAGCAGGTGGCAATATCAGGCGCGGCTGTTCCCGTGGACCATCGGCATTCCACCATGCTGCTGTGCTTCCTGCAACTGGGGCATGGATCTTTTCCGGAGCAAGAATGAAGGCGAGGAGGCGGCCGGCATAATGGACCTGCCGGTGGACCGCAGCGTTCGGTGGCCCGTGGTAATCAGGCGCGCGGTGATATCTTCGGATGGATCTTCGGCTCTTCCTGTCCATCGGATCATCGGATTCATCCTGAGCGTCCCGCTCTCTGCTCCTTCTACCGTCCATTCAGGCCCGCGAGTCGTGGAAAAGTTTCCGTTGCCTACATGGTGGTCATGATGGTATTCATGAATCGTGAGTCTTCGAGATGGTGTTGCACATCCCCTGGCCGCCGGGGTTGATTAGCGCGCCGCAGGAGTTCATTCTGGGGCTGGTGGAGAGGCACCTGTCGAGTCTGATTCCCATCTGAGCGCGGGACCGAAAATTTGGGTCAAGGAGACCCTTGACATTTGCTGCAAGGGTCGCTTTATAAAGGGCCCGTCTGTCTGGTCAGTGGAAAAGGAAAAAACCAAAAGGGAGGTAGCGTCATGGTTGCGAAGAGAAAAGCTGGGGTATGGCAGTAGTCTTGGGGCCTTGTTCCTGTTGTCGTCCATGGCGATAGCGGAAATGAAGCTCATGTTGGAGCCCAACACGGTGTCCAAGAAGACCCGGTCACAGTCACCGCATCGGGGCTGAAGGCTGGACAAGAGGTTGGCTTGCGGATGATGATGGGCGGGGTTTTGTCCGACGTGAGCTTTCTGGCGAAGCCTGCCATCGAGAAGGCGGACGACAAGGGCATGGTATCGTCGAAATGGACCATTAACCGGGAGTTGCGGCTCTTGGCCAATGGTGACCACGAGATCATGCTGGTGGACAGCGACGGCACACGCGCTCGCCAAGACGATGCTGACGTGGCGAAGCCCCGAAGAGAAGAAATAGCTTGCTTGCACAGCAGGGAGTGTCACCGGATTCATGCGGTGACACTCTCGAGCGGTGTGGTCGGAGAGGGGCGGCCGTCAATAGAAAACAAATGGGCTAGCTGAAAGGTCGCTAGACCGGAGTCCTCGGCCCGTTTCCGTTCCGGGATAGAGTTGCGCTCGGAGCAGCGGCTCAGACGTGAGGCGAGGTACGGATCATGAAGAGACGGAGAGCTAACGATGTGGGAGGCAGAATATTCGGCTTGTATTTCTCTCTTCGCCGGACTGGTGACTGACGGTGCAGGCGCAGGAAGACATCACCATACATCTTGATCGGTTATATCCGCCGGCGGCGGCACACGACCTCGAGGCGCGGGTCATGGGCGGCGCCACCTGAGCAAGTACTTTCCGAAGCCAACCCCGAAGAGATCATCGAGTTCAGAACTGCCGGGGGCGGGCGCATGATCATGGAACCGCACACACCTACAACCGGGCGAAGCCCGACGGGTTCCCAAACATCTGGGCATGTTAGGCTAAAGACAAGCGACATTAACGACGTAGGATGCTAAAGCCCAATATGTAAAGTTAGACCAAAGCCCACCAAGATGCCGACATCTGGTCCCGCCGCATTAAGTTTCATCTGACCCAGTACTCTCGGGCCAGAAAGTCCGACGACTGCGTTGAAACAAGGCTCGACCGCTCAAATCGTCGTGGCGGCCCGCTCCAAAGCAGGGTCCTCTTGCTGCGCGGGCAGTTTGCCCTGCTGCTCATGGGTATCGAAAGTACACCGGCTGTGCGCTTGTGGACTCGCCCATCAGGCCCGCCATGGAAACGGAGCGAGGTGAGCTACTCGTGGAAAGTGACCCACACTTGTGGGCGGCCGGCGCCTTCGTGGACCGCACCAGCCGCGGGCCTGGTTTTCCCCATGTACCAGATCGGCCACTACAAGGGGGACGGAACCATCGCGCGCTCCGACACCGTAAGGGAGACGTCCCCCACGTTTACGAAGGTTACAATTCGGTCCAATGAAAGAACATCGGGGCACTGAGGGGAGTCTTGCGCGCAATCCTACTGGCATCTAGAATTGACCCGTAACCCTGTGATGCCGTCCGGGCAATCCCCCGGCCAGGTCGCGAGAGCTTCGGGTAGCGAAGCGATCGAAGATGGCCAAGGACCCAGGCTCGTGAAGGATTGGAGAGGATATTCGGACAGAAGCTCGCTCCGGTTCTCGTACCCCGAAAAACGAGATGCTACAATATCCGACGACGACACCATGGCGCCCGCCGAGTGGCAGACCTATCTACGGAACTTCCGCAAGTGCCAATTAGCACGGAGACGAACGAGCGTGTATCGGCCCGTCTCGAAAAGGAAGGATCTCATGACCAGACGCAGAACATTTTTCTGTTAATTGCGTTAGCGCGATGTGGCAGATGCTGGAGCGGGGGTCAAGCAGGCCTTTACGAAGGCAAAGCGCACATTAAGATACTCTCGGGCTATTACGCCACGGCGGCGGGCATGATACCGAAGGCCGGCTAATCGCCCGCGCTGGATCGGCAAGTACCCTTCCCAGGCATGCCGACAGCGTATCAAATCAAAAATGCCCGGCGCCGCACGACTATCCACGTCGCCTACCACCGCCAAACAAGCCAAGAGGACGGCTCACCTGGTCCATCAGGGCACTTCCCACTGGGCAACCAACCCTGAAGAACCCAAACCCAACTTCGACTTGCCAAGATGCCGTCAATCTTCTCACCCAGCGGCGCTCCGCGGCCATCGTCCGGGACTTCCTAAGGTAAAGAACCGACCGTCGATCTGACCAAGATCGATCCACAAAAGATCGCCGGTTTCCGGGACGCTCCATCAACGAACGTACCTTTCCTCAACGACGTCATCGGCCGCTCGCCTTCTGAGCATCAGGGCTAATCGCTACAGCAGTGTGGGCGAGTCCCGGCCAACGAGCGCAAGATGGAGCTGGCGTTTTCTCGGTTGAAGTCCCGATGTGGCCGGGGTACCGGGCTACATCACGTGCTGGGACCAGGCGGGCGGTACTACGGGCCCATCAAGGAGGGTGGTTGCCATCGCCAGATGGAAAGGTGGTCGGTTGGGGGGGCCGAACACGAAGGAAAGGTAATTAAGTTCTGACACAACCAGGTTGGTACCAGCATACCGACGTCGAGGAAAGTCTTATAAGGAAGTGAAGGGCAAGGCGCATTCGGGTCCGGCCGGGGGAGGCGTACTACAAGCTTACGGGGCCCACCATGGGAAACTCACCGGGACCCTGGCAGTACCCCCTGCAGCCGCCGGACGTGTCGAAATCCATCTCGGCCGCCTTTGACAAGTTGTACTCGATCCGGCCGTAAGTTCAAGGAAGGGGGAGCGGATCTTCGGAATGAAGCTGGAGCTACGTCGAGTGGCGGAGAACTCCGGACAAGATCGTCAGGGCAGATGCTTGAGCCGTCGACGGGATGGGACTTACTCCAAGAAACGAGTAATCCCGCCTGCAGAAGAGCAAGCAATAGTTCACACGTCAATTCTAACCCGCTCCACAGAGCGCGGCCGCGCCGGACTCTCTCTTTTCTCTCATCCCGTGGGTGTTTCTTTTTCTTTTTTTTTTGTTTTTTTTTTATTTTTTTTTTTTTTTTTTTTTTTTTTTTTTTTTTTTTTTTTTTTTTTTTTTTGTTTTTCTTTTTGTTCTTTCTTTTTTTTTTTTTTTTGTTGAGAGAGATCCGGCGCGGCGCGCGCGCCGGATGGCAGCCGGGTTAGATTGACGGGTGAGACTATTGCTTGCGCTTCTGCAGCGCGGGGATGTACTCGTTCTTGAGGTAGTCCCATCCCGGCGAAGGCTCAAGCATGGCCCTGACGATCTTGTCCGAGTTCTCGCCACGCGAGTAGTCCAGCTTCAGTCCGAAGATCCGCTCCCATTCCTTGACGTACGCCGGATCGGAGTACAACTTGTCAAAGGCGGCCCGGATGATGGCGACACGGTCCGGCGGCGTGCCGGGGGGTACTACCAGGGTCCGGTTGAGTGTCCGCATGGTGGGCCCCGTAAGCTTGTACGCCTCCCACGCCGGACCCGAAGGCGCCTTGCCCTTCACTTCCTTATAGACTTCCTCGAAGGTCGGTATGCTGGTACCGGGAGAACGGATGACCTTTCCTTCGGGGGTCAGCACTCCACCTTGCCAGATGGCGATGGCAACACCCTCCTGGATGGGCCCGTAGTACCGCCCGCTGGTCCCCAGCACGTGATGTAGCCCGGTACCGCCCACGTAGGAGACTTCACCGGAGAGAAACGCCAGCGCCATCTGCGCGGTGCCGGGATAGCCCACGGGCGTAGCGATAGCCCTTGATGCCCAGAAGGTCGAGGCCGAGGGCGTCGTTCAGGAAAGACGGTCCGTTAATGGAGCGTCCGGAAACCGCGATCTTCGTCGGATCGATCTTGGTCAACGCGACGCCGGTCTTGACCCCGAGAAAGTCCCGGACGATGGCTGCGGAAGCACCGCTGGTCGAGAAGATCACCGGCATCTTCAACAGATCGAAGTTCGGTTTGGGTTCGTCAAGGGCCTGATAGCCCAAATGGGAAGTCCCCATCATGGACCAGGTGAGGCCGTCCTTCTTGGCCTTGTTGCCGACGTAGGCGCCGTGGATCCGTCCGGCGGCGCCGGGCATGTTGATCTTGATCACGCTCGTCGGCATGCCGGGAAGGTACTTGCCGATCCAGCGCGCGATGAGCCGGCCCTCGGTATCATGCCCGCCGCCGGGCGAATAGCCCGAGAGTATCTTAATGCGCTTGCCTTCGGTAAAGGCCTGCACCCCCTGCGCCAGCATCAGCCACATCGCGCATAACGCCATAAACACGAAAACGCTACGTCTGGTCATGAGAATCCTCCCTTTCGAGACGGGCCGAGAACCCGCTCCGTCCGCTCCCTCGTGCCTACTTGGCATTGGCGAAGTTCCGGAGATAGCTCTGCCACTCGGCGGGCGCCATGGTGTCGTCGCGGATCTTGGTCGCATCTTCCGGCGTCACGAGCACCGGAGCGAGCTTCTGGCCGAAAATCCTCTCCCAATCCTTCACGAAGCCTGGGTCCTTGGCCATCTTCGCGATCGCAACCCGAAGCTCCGCGACCCTGGCCGCGGGAGTGCCCGGAGGCAGCACCAGGGTACGGGTCAGATTCGAGATGCCAAGTCCGATGGCGCGCCAAGACTCCCACTCAGGCCCCGAAGGTTCTTTCCCGTGGACCGACTTGTACACCTCGTAAAGCGTGGGGACGTCCCCCTTTACGGTGTCGGACCGCGCGATGGTTCCGTCCCCCTTGAGGATGCCGCTCTGGTACATGGGGAACACCAGGCCGCGCTGGTGCAGGTCCACGAAGGCGCCGCCGCCCACCAGGTGGGCGTCACTGGCCACGAAGTAGCTCACCTCGCTCCGTTCCATGGCGGCCCTGATGGGCGACGTTCCCCCATAGGCGCACACCGGCGTGTACTTCTCGATACCCAGGAGCCGCAGGGCCAACTGCCCGCGCAGGCACGAGGAGCCCTGCTTGGAGCGGCCGGCCACGACGATCTTCGAGCGGTCGACCTTGTTCACCAGGTCGTCGGCCTTCCTGGCCCCGAGAAAGTCACGGGTCAGATGAACCTGAATGCCGGCGACGGACCAGATGATCGGCATCTTGGTGACGTCGAACTTGACCATATGCGGCGGAGCAACCAACGCCTGAAGTCCATGGCTGGAGCCGAACAGGCCAATGGTGAACCCGTCGGGCTTCACCCGGTTGTAGGTGTATGCGGCCATGATCATGCCGCCCGCCCCCGGCACGTTCTGAACGATGATCTTCGGGTTGTCGGCAAGGTACTTGCTCAGGTGGCGCCCCATGACCCGCGCCTCGAGGTCGTGGCCGCCGCCCGGCGGATAACCGATCAAGATGGTGATGTTCTTCGCCTGCACCGTCGTCACCAGTCCGGCGAAGAGAAAAATAAAGCCAATATGCCCCAACTCGTTAGTGTCCGTCTCTTCATGATCCGTTACCTCCCTCACGTCTGAGCCCCTGCCTCCGAGCGAATCTTTCCCCGGAACGGAAACGGGCCGAGGACTCCGGTTCTAGCGAAATCCTCAGCCCGTTTTCTATTGACGGCCGCCCCTTCCGGAACCAACCGGCGTCGAGAGTGTCACCGGCATGGAATCCGGTGACACTCCCTGTGCCAAGCAAGCTATTTCTTCTTCTTCGGGGGCTTCGCCACCGTCAGCATCGTCGTGGCGATCGTGTTGCCGTCGCTGTCCACCAGCATGATCTCGTGGTCACCATTGGCCAGGAGCCGCAACTCCCGGTTAACGCCCCAACTCGCCATTACCCTGCCCTTGGCGTCCACCTTCTCGATGGCAGGCTTCGCCAGAAAGCTCACGTCGGACAAAACGCCGCCCATCATCATCCGCAAGCCGACTTCCTGTCCGGCCGTCAGTCCCAATCCGATGACGGTGACCGCGGTCTTCTTGGCCACCTTGTTGGGAAACAATATGAGCTCATGCGCTATCGCCACCGACGACAACAGAAACAAGGCCCCCAAGACTACTGCCATACCCGCAAGCCTTTTCTTCGCAACCATACTCTACCTCCCTTTTGGTTTTTTCCGCTGATCCAGACAGACGGCCCTTTATAAGCGACCCTTGCAGCAAATGTCAAGGGTCTCCTTGACCCAAATTTTCGGTCCCGCGCTCAGAAGGGAATCAGACTCGACAGGTACTTCTCCACCAGCCCCAGAATGAACTCCTGAGGCGCGCTCACCACGCCCGGCGGCCAGGGGATGTGCAACACCATCTCGAAAACTCCGATCATGAATACCACCATGACCGCCATGTAGGCAACGGAAACTTTCCACGACTCGCGGGCCTGAATGGACAGATAGAGGAGCAGGAAGAGCGGGACGCTCAGGATGAATCCGATGATCCCGATGGACAGGAAGAGGCCGAAGATCCATCCGAAGATATTCACCGCGCGCCTGATGACCACGGCCACCGGAACGCTGCGGTCCACCGGCAGGTCCATTATGCCGGCCGCCTCCTCGCCTTCATTCTTGCTCCGGAAAAGATCCATGCCCAGTTGCAGGAAGCACAGCAGCATGGTGGGAATGCCGATGGTCCACGGGAACAGCCGCGCCTGATATTGCCACTGCTTGGCGGTAACCACCAAGCCTACCATCAACAACAGGAGTATGAGGGTGAACAACGCTCCCGGATTGGCCCTAAGCTTCATCGGCTTCCCCGCTTCGTTCACGCTCGATTTGCGCTTCCCGCATCCGTTGCAGCTCCAGTTGCTTGCGCGAGTTGCGAACGCCGTAGTACAGGCTTGCGGCGATGAGCACCATCACGATCATCACGATGGGACGCATCATCCACGTGGCGCCGTAACGGCTGATGGAGATGAAGAGATAGTTCTCGATGATGCCGCTGAGCACCAGCCCCAGGATCAGCGGCGGCCGCGGCCAACTGAACCGCTTCATCAACCAGCCCAGCAGCGAGAATGCCAGCAGGGACCAGAGATCCCCATAGTGCCGGGTGGCTTGAAAGGACGCCAGGAACACGATCACCACCACCATCGGGGTCAGCAGATTGATCCGGACCATGGCGAGCTTCGCCAGCGTATTGGTCAGCAACAGGCACAGGATGGTGCCGAAGACGTTGGCGATGGCCAGGCTCCAGATCATCGTGTAGGTAACCGCAAGGTCCTTGGTGAGCATGGCCGAGCCCGGGGTCAGGCCCTGGATGGTCATGGCCCCCAGCAACAGCGCCATGGACGCGCTGCCCGGAACGCCGAAGGCGATGGTGGGGATCAGGGCCCCGCCCTCCTTGGCGTTGTTGGCGGCTTCCGGCGCAAGCACTCCGCGCACGTCGCCCGTGCCAAAGGTCTCGTTGGCGCCCTTCTCCGTCTGTATTGCGTGCCCATAGGCGAACCAGTCCACCACCGACGCGCCCAACCCCGGGATGGCCCCTACGAAAACCCCCACCACCCCGCAACGCAGGACCAGGAACCAGTTGCGGAAGGTATCCCGGATCCCTGCCGTGACCCCCTTCAACCGCTCCTTGGGCACATCCGCGATGCGCGTGCCCCTGATGGTCAGGTCGACGATCTCGGGGATGGCGAAGACTCCCAGCGCCACCGGGACCAGGGGCACGCCGTCCCAGAGGTACAGTTCCCCGAACACCCAACGGAGCACACCCGTCTGGGGGTCCATGCCCACCATGCCCACGCACAGGCCGAGGGCGCCGACGATGAGCCCCTCACCGGGGCGTTGCCGCTCAGCACGGCCACCATGGAGATGCCCAGAGGCCCAGCATGAAGAACTCGGGAGAGCCGAACGCGAGGACGATGGGGCGGAGCACCGGGATGGAAAGCGCCAGCACCAGCGACCCGAACACGCCGCCCAGGAGCGATGCCATATAGGCGGCGCCGAAGGCTCGCCGGCCTCCCCTCTCTTGGCCATTGGGTGCCCGTCCAGAATGGTGGCCTGGGACGCCGAGGGTGCCGGGTACGCCGAAGAGTACCGAGGGGATGGTGTCGGAGGTGCTCGTCACCGAGATCAGCCGATCATGATGGCGAACGCCTCGAAGGAGTCCATGTCGAAGGTGAAGGGCAGGCAGGATGGCGAGGCCGACGAGGCCTCCCCAAGCCGGGAATCGCACCCAACGCCAAGCCCATCAGCACGCCGATGAACAGATACCCCAGCCGGCTTGGAACCAGGAGGTTCTCAATGCTACGGTGGCGGCTTCCAACATAGAAACTCCCTTCTGACCCCTAAAGAAATCCACACGGGATATATCGAGGTCTGGAGAGACTGTCAAGCTCGACCGGTGGCACGGCGTCCACTGGAACGGCCCCTTCCCCGCTAGGTCGGGTTAGCCGAAGGCGTACCCGCACCGCGCAGCCTCGCCCCTTGTCGGATTACGCTTTGCCAATCGACCTGCGGACGACGGGCTCTCGTTGCGGGATTGGAGAAAACCGACTAATGTTCGAGGCATTGAGGGGTCTGCGGCGGACCGCTGAGCACCAGGAAAGGATCGTCACCCATGGGAAATCTAGGCATTTGTTTCGTCAACACCGGCGCCGGAAATCGAACCGGGCTACGTCACCGCCATGGCGCGGAAATGCGACCAGGCGGGCCTGCCTCGTTCTGGACCATCGATCGCATTGCCTATGACATCTCGAGGCCTGACCGTGCTGGCGGCCGTGGCGGGCCACCGAGAACTCCGGTGGGAACGTCGGTTGCTGCTGTCGGCGCTGCGGCATCCGGCGCTGCTGGCCAGACCGTGGCCACCTCGACGTCTGTCCAATGGCAGAGTGACCCTCGGCATCGGGTTCGGCAGCCGGGAGAACGACTTCAGCTCCGTGGAGGTTCCCTGGGAGCACCGGGGAACCCGGGCCGAAGAGTCTCTCGGCCTCATGAAGCGGCTCTGGACCGAAGAGGAGGTGGAGCACCACGGCCGGTTCTCGACCTCCACAGCACCCGCTTCGGCCCCCGGACCATCCAGTTCGCCCATCCCCCCATCTGGATGGGCGGGACCGCCGAAACGTTCTCAAGCGGTCGGGCGTGCTGGCTGACGGCTACATCTGCGGCAGCAGCAACGCCGTGCACGACTTCGACGCGGTCTGGGACAAGATCAGCGGCCACGCCCGGGCAGCCGGCCGGGACCCCGACAGCATCGAAAAGGCCGGGCTTACCTTCATCGCCATCGACGACGACAAGAGCAAGGCGGTGGAGGCGTGCAGCAACTATCTCATTCGCTACTACGGCAAGGTGCGGATGGACGTGGAGAAGTACATGCTGGTGGGGAGCGCGAATGCGTGCGCCGACGGCATCAACCGGATCTTCGCCGGCGGACTCCAGACCCTGATCATCGGCCTGGCCATCGCCGACCTCGCACAACTGGATACGTTCGTGGAAAAGTGTGCTGCCCCAGGTGCAGGGGTAGGAGCCGTGTCAGCCGACAGCGCGATCCGCACACGGGCGGGTTTGAAACGCCGCCCCTACATCGGATGTACGGTTCCTGCGGCCGCAGGCTCGGGAGCCTACGCGACAGTGGACCCAGGGTAAGGGGCGACCGGCCGGTCGCCCCTGCGAATGCGCTGGGGATGAGCGGCGGGACGCTACAGCGGTCGCCGGCCCCTCAGAAGTTCTTGGTGTAGGGCAGTCTCTCGGCGGTCTCGGCCACTTCGTCCCATGTGTTGAGCAGCAGCGTGTGGAGTCCCACGAGCCCGTGGGTCAGGGCGTTGCGGTGGCCCTCACTGATGTCGATGTCCATGTCCGTGCCATCGGGCAGGTGGATCTTCCGGGCGTCGAGGTCCACGGTGAGCTCGACTTCGGGGTCGGCCTCCACCATTGCCATGAGCTTTCCGATGTCCCGGCGAGACCATCACCGGGGCATGCGCCATCAGCACGCTGCTGCCGGCGAAGATCGGACCGAAGGATTCCCCGACGACGACCTTGATGCCCCAGCGGTACAGGGCCTGCGGCGCGTGCTCCCGCGACGACCCGCAACCGAAGTTGCGGTTCACCAGCAGGACCTCGGCGCCCTGGAAGCGGGCCTCGTTGAACGGAGGTCCACCGTGTTGCCCTCGGTGTCGTGGCCGCTCGTCGAAGAACGGGTATTCACCCATGCGATTGAAGGTGATTTCCTTGAGGTAGCGGCCGGAACGATTCGATCGGTATCGATATCGTGCCCCCGCACCACCACCGCCCTGCCGCCTACCTGCTTGATCTCATTCATGCCGACCTCGATCAATTGTTGTATTCGCGCACGTCCACGACCTTGCCGTTCAGGCGGCCGCGGCCACCATGGCGGGACTCATCAACAGCGTCCGCCGCCGGGGCTCCCCTGACGGCCGATGAAGTTTCGGTTCGATGAGGACGCGCACAACCTCGCGGCCGTTGAGCTTGTCGGGGTTCATGGCCAGACACATGGAGCAGCCGGCCTCTCTCCATTGGAAGCCCGCTTCGGTGAAGACCCGTCGAGCCCCGCCGCCTCCGCCTGTTTCTTGACCTCCACGGAGCCGGGCACCACCAGCGCTCTCACGCCCGCGGAAACCTGCACCTTGGCAACGCGCGCCGCGGCCACGAGATCCGAGAACCGCGAGTTGGTGCAGGAGCCGATGAATGCCACGTCAATGGAAGTCCCGAGAATCGGCGCGCCCGGCGTCCAGCCCATGTGCTCGTAGCCCTCTCGACGCGTCTTGGGGTCTTGCAGCTCTTCGGGGCGCGGCAGGTTCTCCAGCACTCCACTGCATGTCGGGATTGATGCCCCAGGTGACCGTGGGCTCGATGGCCGAGCCGTCGAGGTCCACCACGTCGTCATAGGCCGCGTCCTGGATCCGACGCATGGCGCGCCAGTACGCCACCCCGCGGTCAAAGGCTTCCCCCTTGGGGCGCGAACTGCCGTCCCATCAGGTAGTCGAAGGTGGTCTGATCGGGGTGACGTAACCCACCAGCGCACCGCCCTCGATGCTCATGTTGCAGACGGTCATGCGCTCTTCCATGTTCATCCGGTCCAGCACCGCGCCGCCGTACTCGTACGCGTACCCCTTGCCGCCGCCGACTCCAGAGGGTCGGATGATGGTGAGGATCACGTCCTTGGCGTGCACCCCCAGGGGGAGGCTGCCGTTGACGTTGATGCGCCGTACGTTGAGCCGGTCCATGGACAGGGTCTGGGTCGACAGCACGTCCCGGACCTGGGTGGTACCGATGCCGAAGGCCAGGGTCCCGAAGGCCCCGTGGGTGCTCGTGTGGCTGTCGCCGCAGGCCAGCGTCATTCCCGGCTGCGTCAGACCGAGCTGCGGACCGATGACATGAACGATGCCCTGCCGGTCACTACCCAAACCGTAGAACTCGATGCCAAAGTCGCTGACGTTCTTCTCCAGCGCCGCCATCATCGCCTCGGCCTGATCGTCGGCAAAGGGCCGGGCATGGGTGTCCGTGGGGACAATGTGATCGGCGGTGGCGAAGGTCCGCTGGGGATAGGCGATGGACAGCCCCCGTTCCCGCATCATGTCGAACGCCTGCGGGGTGGTCACTTCGTGGACCAGATGTAATCCGATAAAGAGTTGGGTTTGCCCGGTGGGGAGCGTGGTCACCGTATGGGCGTCCCCAGACCTTGTCATAAAGTGTACGTTCGGACATGGATCAGGTTCTCCTTGCGGGAAATCATAGCCAGCGGCCTGCGCTAATTCAAGCGTCCTTCGACTCCGCTTCGCTACGCTCAGGACGAGCGGTTGGTGGAAAACCACGATTCCGTTCGTCCTGAGCCCTTCGACGAGCTCAGGACAGGCTTCGCGAAGCGGAGTCGAAGGACGCCATCCGGCGGACTGACTCACCGCGGATGCCTATTCGTAGCACACCTCCACCAGGAACAGGCCCCGTGCGGGGCGCGGTGGGGCCGGCCTGCGTACGGTCGCGGCTGTCGATCAATGCCGGGAGACCGCCGGCATCCCGCTCACCGAGCCCTATCTGCACCAGCGTGCCGACGATGTTGCGTACCATGTGCCGGAGGTAGCCGGTGGCTTCAACGCGATAGACCCAGTGATCCTCCCACGGAACAGCTCGTTATGGTAGATCCGCCGGACCGCGGTAGCGGCGCCGCACCCGGCGGCCCGGAAACAACGAGAAGTCATGCTCCCCTTCCAACGCGGCCAACGCCTCGCGCATGGCGTCGACGCGCAACGGCCTGCGTACGTGCCACGAATACCGGTCGTTGAACACCGACCGCCAAGGGTGGTTCCACAGGCGGTATTCGTAGAGACGCGCCTCCTCGCATCTCTCCGGGCATCGAACGATGGGGACGCCGCCTCTACCGCCCTTATCGTCATGTCGTCCGGGGTGAGGGCGTTGAGGCCCCGCTGAATTCGGGTCAGGTCCCGGCCGTCGGGGCACGCGAAATTCGCCACCTGGCCCCGCGCATGAACGCCGGTATCGGTCCGTCCAGACCCCTGGACCCGCACCCTCTGCTTCAGCAGCACGGCCAGGGCGTCCTCCAGGATGCCCTGGATCGTCGGTCCGCCGGGCTGAATCTGCCATCCACGGTAGTCCGTGCCGTCGTACTCGAGGGTCAGTCTGACGTTCATGCCGGTTTCCTGGCACACCCCCCGCGGAGCGCCTTACGGTCTACGTGTCAGTGGTAGTCCCGGATCAGGATCTCGGCGATCTGCACCGCGTTCAGGGCCGCGCCTTTGCGCAGGTTGTCGGCGACAACCCATAGATTGATGCCGTTCTCGACGGAGTCATCCTCGCGGATGCGCCCGACGTATGTGGACGTCCTGCCCGTAGCCTGGGTGGCGAGGGGGGTAGTCGTTGCCCTGGGGGTCGTCCTGGAGCAGCACGCCGGGAGCCTCCTGAGGATGGCGCGGACATCGCCCGCCGACAGCTTGGTCGGGTCTCGACGTTGATGGATTCGGAGTGGCTGCAGAAGACGGGCACGCGCACGCGGTGGCGGTGGTGACGGTGATGCGAATTTCCGGGTCGTCCAGGATCTTGCGGGTCTCCGGACCATCTCACCTTCCTTGGTGTAACCGTCGGGCAGAAACGAATCGATGTGCGGGATGCAGTTGAACGCGATCTGATGCGGGAACTGCTCGCACTCCACCTCCTGGCTGTTGAACAGCGCCGCGGTCTGCTTGCCGAGTTCCTCCATGGCCCGGCGTCCGGCTCCGGACACCGACTGATAGGTGGACACCACGATGCGGGTGATGCCCGCGGCGTCGTACAAGGGCTTCAGCGCCACCAACATCTGGATGGTGGAGCAGTTGGGGTTGGCGATGATGCCCGTGGGCGTGGTCGGCGATTTGTCCGCGTTGACTTCGGAACCACCACGGGATCTCGTCGTCCATCCGGAAATGGCTGGTGTTGTCGATGACCACGGCGCCGGCGTCCACCGCCGCCTGGGCATACGGGCACTGACCGACGAGCCCGCGAGAACAGCGCGATGTCGATGTCTTCGAAAGAATCGTCGTCCAGCACCTCCACCGGAATCTGCGGCCGCACCGAAAGCGAGCCGCTGGCCGGCGGACCGCTCGGAAGCCAGCAACCGAAGGTGTCCACGGGGAACAGCCGCTCCGCGAGAATCTTCCGCATCTCCTCGCCCACCGCCCCGGTCGCTCCCACTACGGCCACATTGTACTTGTCTTTATTCATGTCACGCTAAGCTCCGCGGCCGGCCGCAATCTCCTGCCGCACCAGGGAACCCATCTCCTTGCACCCCACCACGTTGGCCTTCCCCTCGGAGATGTCCAGGGTGCGGTGGCCCGGCCTCAAGCACCCGCTCCACCGCCTGTTCGATGCAGTCGGCGGCGGCGCCCTGGTCAAAGGAGTGGCGCAGCATGAGCGCCACCGTAAGGATGGTGGCCAGCGGGTTGGCCTTGTCCTGCCCGGTGATGTCCGGAGCGCTGCCGTGCACGGGCTCGTACATGCCCACCTTGCCGCCGAGGCTGGCGGACGGCAGCATGCCGATGGAACCCGTGAGCATGGCCGCCTCGTCGCTCAGGATGTCTCCGAACATGTTGGTGGTGACGATGACGTCGAACTGCCTGGGATCCCGAATGAGCTGCATGGCGCAGTTGTCCACCAGCACATGGTCGAGCTCGACGTCGCCATAGCCTTCCTCGTCGCGGACCCGGGTCACCACCCTGCGCCACAGCTCGGTGGACTCCAGCACGTTGGCCTTGTCCACCGAGGTCACCCGGCCGCGCCGCCTGCGGGCGGCGTCGAAGGCCACCCTGGCGATCCGTTCGATCTCGGGCGTGGTGTAGACCAGGGTATTGAAGCCCCGCTCGGTACCGTCGGGCTCGGTGGTGACGCCCTTGGGCTGTCCGAAGTAGATGCCGCCGGTCAGCTCGCGCACGACGAGCAGGTCGGTTCCCGCCACCACCTCGGGCTTGAGGGTCGAAGCCTGCGCCAGCGGCGCGAACAGCTTCACCGGACGAAGGTTGGCGAACAAGCCCAACTCCTGGCGTAACGCCAGCAACGCTCGCTCGGGGCGGATGGAATAGTCCAGTCCATCCCACTTGGGTCCGCCCATGGCTCCCAGCACCACCGCGTCGCTGGACTTGGCCAAGGCCAGGACCTCGTCGGTCAGGGGCGTTCCGTGGGCGTCGATGGACGCTCCGCCCACCACCCCCTCCTCGACATCGATGGTGAAATCGAAGATGTCGCCCGCCTGCAGCAGCACCGCCATGGCCTCGGCCACCACTTCCGGGCCGATGCCGTCGCCCGGAAGCACCGTTACCTTATGACTCATGGACCCCCCTCTACTGAAACCTTACGGTGCCGCTTGCGATATTCGAGACGGTTCAAGGCGTTCACATACGCCAGCGCACTCGCCATGATGATGTCCGTGTGGGAACCTTTCCCGGAGATGTTGATGTCCTTTTCCTGAAGCATGCACGACACCTCGCCCTGGGCGTCGGTGCCGCCGGTGACGCTCGAAACCGAATACCGTTGCAGCTTCGCGCGGCTACCGGAGATCTTGGCGATGGCTTTATAACACGCATCCACCACCCCGTCACCCGTGTCGTGGGCCATCTTCTCCTCGCCGTCCACCCGCATCCGTATAGTGGCCGACGGCACTGCGGATGAGCTCGAGGCGATGTTCATGTACACCAGCTCGTAACGGTCCGGCTGGCTCGGTATCCTCAGCACCTCGTCCGCCACCAGGGCCTCGATGTCCTCGTCGAACACTTCCTTCTTCTTGTCCGCGAGCTCCTTGAACCGATCGAAGGCCCGGTTGATCTCGTCCTTGTTGAGCGTGAAGCCGAGATGCTGCAATCTTTCGCTGAAGGCATGCCGGCCGGAGTGCTTGCCCATCACCAGCCGGTTGCCCGGTATACCGATGGTTTCGGGCTTCATGATCTCGTAGGTGAGCTTCTGCTTCAGCACGCCGTCCTGATGGATCCCGGCCTCGTGGGCAAAGGCGTTGTCTCCCACGATGGGCTTGTTGAGCGGAACCGAGATGCCGGTGACCTGGCACAGCAGACGCGACGTGGGATAGATCTGCTCGGTGTGGATGCGCGTGTCGAGATTGAACACGGACCGCCGCGTCTTGAGGGCCATCACCACCTCTTCCAGCGAGGTGTTGCCGGCCCGCTCGCCGATGCCGTTCACCGTGCACTCCACCTGCCGCACCCCGTTGGCCACCGCCGCCAGGGAGTTGGCCACGGCCAGACCCAGATCGTTGTGGCAGTGGGCGCTCCAGGTGACCTTGTCCGAGTCCTCGGTATTTTCAATCAGGTACCGCACCAGCTCGCCGAACTCCGACGGGATGGCGTAGCCCGTGGTGTCCGGAATGTTGAGGGTTTTCGCCCCGGCCCGGATGGCCTCCGAGAAGACCTCCACCAAGAACTCCGGGTCGCTGCGCGAAGCGTCCTCCGCCGAGAACTCGACATAGTCCAGATATCTCCTCGCCAGCACCACGGCCGTACCCACGGACTCCAGCACCTCCTCCCGGGACATCCGGAGCTTGTGCTTCATGTGTATATCGGAGGTGGCGATGAAGGTATGGAGCCCCGGCTTCCGCGCCCCTTCCACCGCCTTGGCGGCCTTCCGGATATCGCCCTGCTGCGCCCTCGCCAGACTCAGCACGATGGGGCGCTTGACGGCCTTGCATACCTGCACCACGGACTCGAAGTCCCCCGGCGACGACGCGGCGAAGCCGGCCTCGATGACGTCCACCCCCAGCTTGTCCAGTTGGCGGGCAATGAGGACCTTCTCGTCGATGTTCATGCTTGCCCCGGGCGACTGCTCGCCGTCCCTGAGGGTCGTATCAAAAATGTTCACAACGTCTTTGGCGCCCATGGTCTTCCTCCTCAAAAAAAACTCCCGCGGGGGTCCGGCGGGAGTTTGGATCATGCAAGCTGAGGTTCGCTTTTGGTCAGGCTTGTACGAGTGCCTGCTCTTCCCTCCGTCGCTTTCGCACGGCGAGCAGCCATAATAGGGGACCCGATAGGGTGTACAGTAATAGCGCCGAGAACAACACGATCTGCCCACATAGAGATGGTTAGTATAATGATTACCAGCGCGGAAAGCAACAACCCAATGGTGCTGCGCTTCTTGAAGTGGTGCTGTTTCAGGCTGAGATAGCGGAAATTGCTCACCATGAGGCCCGCCAGCGTACATGCCATGACCATAAAGACCACGGGCTTGCTGTCCGTGTTCTCGAGTCCCAGCATGAAATACATGAAGATGGTAGCCGCGACCATGGCCGCGGCCGCCGGGATCGGCAATCCGGTGAAGTAGCTCTTTTCCGTAGCCAGGGTCTGGACGTTGAAGCGCGCCAGGCGTAGCGCCCCGCAGACGGCGAACAGAGCCGCCACGAAGCCGCCCCAGGTGGCCAACGGCGCCAACGCGAATACGTAGAGCAGGATCGCCGGCGCCACGCCGAACGAGACGAGGTCGGCCAGGGAATCGAATTCGACTCCGAACTGGCTGGTGGTGTGGGTTAGCCGCGCCACCGCGCCGTCGACGCCGTCCAGCAGGTGCGCGACCACGATGAACAGGGCCGCCTGATGGTACTCGCCATTGAACGCGAAGATCATGGCGAACATGCCGCAGAAGAGATTGCCCGCGGTGAACAGGCTGGGCAGAAGATAGATGGCGCGGCGCGGCCGGTTGGACGGACCCCGCCGCTTCAGGCGGCCCGGTTTGGCCTTCCCCCGCGGGATGAGCCGGACTTTTCTAAACGGCGAGCCGGACTTTTCGGTACTGTCCATCACCCTGGTCCGTGGCTAGTGTGCTGTCTCACCCATACGTTTACCAATGTGCACTCGTGTTGTATCTCACAAACAGGTTTAACACTAAAGCCTCAACACTGCAGCCTGGCGACGATGGTTTCCCCGCCCCGGACCCGCTGGCCGGGGTGTACTTCGACGGTGGCGTCCCGCGGCAGGAAGAGGTCTACGCGGGATCCGAACATGATCATGCCAAAACGCTCGCCCCGCTTCAACGAATCGCCGCGTCCGACGTCGCAAACGATCCGGCGGGCGAGGAAGCCCGCGATCTGCACGATGCGGAGCGTCGTTCCCCGCATCGTCCACGAGCTCGATGGCATTGCGTTCATTCTCGTCGGACGCCTTGCCCTTGTAGGCGGCCAGGAAGTGGCCCGTCTGATAGCGGACATCCACCACTCGTCCGTTCATGGGAGCCCGGTTGATGTGCACGTCCAGGGGCGAAAGAAAGATGCTGACCCTGCGGCCATCGGCATCCGAGACATCGTCGACGCTCACCACCTTGCCGTCCGCCGGAGACACGACGATGCCTTCCCCGTCCGGCGAAACGCGCTCCGGATCGCGAAAGAACCCTGCCACCGCCACCGCCACCGCCAGCAGTACCACGCCGACCACGAACCAGCCCACGGCCAGGGCAGCGGCTGCCAGCCCCAACGCCGTGAAAACGAACCGATAACCTTCCTTCGCGATCCTGATGGGAATGTCCCCCAATGCGCCGTTGGCGGGTCTGTTTCAGCCCCGGGCGCCGGCCGCGGGTTTAAGACCCCGCGGCGGGGCGGGTTTAAAACTCCGCGGCACGGGCGGGTTTGAAACCCGCCCCTACTAGTTCTTGCTCTTGTCCACCAGCCGGTTTTCCGCCAGCCACGGCATCATCGACCTGAGTTGCTCGCCCACCTTCTCGATGGGATGGCTCCGGGAGGCTTGGCGCAGCTCGTTGAAATGCGGCGATCCGTTGCGGTGCTCGTTCATCCACTCGTCGGCGAATTTTCCCGATTGAATGTCCGCCAGGATCTCCTTCATGATCTTGCGGGTGTCGTCGTTGACGATCCGTGTCCCCACGAGTGAGATCGCCGTACTCCGCGGTATTGCTGACGGAGTAGCGCATGTTGGCCAGTCCGCCCTCATAGATCAGGTCGACGATCAGCTTGACCTCGTGACAGCACTCGAAATAGGCCATTTCCGGCGGATAGCCCGCTTCCACCAGAGTTTCGTAGCCCGCCTGGATCAGCGACGTAAGGCCGCCGCACAGCACCGTCTGCTCGCCGAACAGGTCGGTCTCGGTCTCATCCTTGAAGCTGGTCTCGATGACCGCGGCGCGGGCGCCGCCGATGGCCGCGGCATAGGCCAGACCCACCGGCGTGGTGTCTCCGGAGGGATCCTGCTCGACGGCCAAAAGGCAAGGCACTCCCCTGCCCCGCTCGAACTCGCTTCGTACCAGGTGGCCGGGCCCCTTGGGCGCAACCATGAAGACATTGACGTCCTCGGGAGGAATCACCCGCTTGAAGTGGATGTTGAAGCCGTGCCCGAAGGCCAGGTAGTTTCCCGGCTTGAGACCGGGCCGGATGACCTCCTTGTAGACGTCGCCCTGAAGCTCGTCGGGTAGCAGCACCATGACCACGTCCCCGGCTTCGGCCGCCTCCGCCGTCTCCATCACCGTCAGGCCGGCATCCGCCGCCTTGGCCCAGGACGCGCTGTCGCGCTTCAATCCCACCACCACGTCCACGCCGGAGTCGCGCAGATTGCTGGCGTGTGCGTGTCCCTGGCTGCCGTAACCGAGCACCGTGACCTTGCGGTCGCGGATCCGGTTCAGATCCGCGTCCTGGTCATAGTAGACCTGCATGTTGAACCTCCCTGTGAAAGGTTGGCCGGCAGCGCATCGGAGGGTGGCCGAACGGACCCTCGTGACAAGTCAACGCCAGTCTGAAAACGCAGACATCGTTACAGAGACTCCCGCGCGATGGCGATGCGGCCCGTGCGAACGATCTCCTTGATGCCCATGGGCTTCAACAAGTTGATGACCGCCTGGATCTTGCCGGCGTCTCCCGACACCTCGAGGGTGTACGTCTGCGGGGTGGAGTCGACGATGTTGGCGCGGAAGATCTGCGCGATCCGCATGGCCTCGTCCCGGTGCGCCTGTTTGGCCAGGATCTTGATCAGCGCCGTTTCACGGTCGATGTGGTCCTCTTCGGTGAGGTCGACGACCTTGAGAACTTCGATGACCTTGTTGAGCTGTTTCATGATCTGCTCGATGATGTCCTCGTCACCCGAGGTCACCACCGTGATCATGGAGATGCTGGAATCCGGGGTCGGAGCCACGGACAGGCTCTCGATGTTGTAACCCCGCGCGCTGAACAGGCCGGCCACTCGAGCGAGCACGCCGGATTTATTCTCAACCAGAACCGAAATGATGTGTTCCATCCACCAAACCCTTACGCCGGCAATACGGCGTCCGCATCCTCTCCCGTTTTTCGCGAGCCCTTGCGCGCGGTCTTCGTCTTCAGTTGCGGCGGGTCCTCCAGCACCATCTCGTGATGGGCGCCGCCGGCAGGGATCATCGGATAGCAGTTCTCGAACCGGTCAATGGCGAAGTTCATCAACACCGGGCCCTTGTGCTTGAGCCCTTCCTTCAGCACCGCCTCCACGTCGGCGGGCCCTTCCGAGTGGAGCCCGAGGATCCCGTAGGCTTCCGCGAGCTTGACGAAATCCGGGACGTTACCCAGGTCGCTGGAAGCGTAGCGTCCGTCGTAGAACAGGTCCTGCCACTGCCGCACCATGCCGTGGAACTGGTTGTTGAGTC